AAAGAGGTGAAGATGTGGCTGCAGATGGAGTGAGGTGGAGGAGGATGAAGATGAAGATGAAGTGTTGGGGCTGAATGATAGCAGCAGGATAAGAAGAGAAGATCTATAAAAGGTCAGGAAAACCTACTATAGATCTCTGGTTTGTAGAAGAACAGATAGATAAGACGATGAGCTGGGTTGAAGATGAGATGTTCATCAGGAGTTTTCTGTGTTTGTACTAAGAACCAGTAGATACTGTATATGAGACAAAGAAGGTTAAAAAAAAGAAAGAAGTAAGAAGTAAGCAGGACACGGAAATGTCTGATGCACCAGTAATAGATATGGTGAGATGTAAGGATAAAACTAGGGCTTTTTGAGGGAGCGCTTTCAACAGTATAGCAATACTCGGAATGTGCTGAATATTTTGATCCGGAAGAAATCGGTGATTCATCAAAAGTGCTTTGTCTCTCAAGGTCTGACTCTTCAAGAGTCAAAGTTAGTTGTTTGAAGCAGCGTGGAATTTGAAGGACAGTTGGCACCAAACACTTCAAAATGAACAGAGAATTTACAGCAGCTCAAGTTTTGTGATTCCTGCATCAACCATTAGACCTGTGGCCTCAATGTCAGATGTTTTTTTTTCACTTTACACAAATTGTCTTGTGTTTTTCTGCTCTGTCATTGAGACACATTTTCTTCAGTTTACTGTCTGCAGTGATTCAGTCGCTAGGATTTCGTGTCCATCCAAGTGTTGAATTGCTCAGACAGTCAATCATGTGTTTCAGTGTTTCGGTTGGTGCTTTTACTTCACTGTGTGCGTGTGTGTGTGTGTGTGTGTTATCCGATACTACCTTTCTCCATATGGTGTGGGACTGGGGGACAGGAGGTGAGGCCTGCACATGGTATCAGTCTGAGATGTTAGCCAGCAGACACACACTAACACACTTTAACACACACACACACTCATGCTTTAGGCCTTACATGTCATTGTTACCTGATATTCATGGTCTGTAGGAGAAACACGGAGGAGAAGGTCGTGTGATGTCAGAGACGATGATGCGTTCACTGCTGGCCGTGGGTTTGATTGCTGCTCGCTCCTTTTTTCACTGCCCCGGGCTCCTTCTACCCTCTGTCCTCCTCGCCCACCTCCCCCAATCCTCAGCGTTGGTCCAGCCCCCACCACGAGACTTGCAGACCTTTCTATTTTTGATTTCTAGTCCAAGTGCAAACAATGGTACAGTACGCCTGTGGAAACCACTTCCACTGACTGTATTTACTCTGAGAGGGAGAAGTCGATCTAATGAGACTCCTTTCTGTAGAGAGAATGAGGAGAACTGTGATTGACAGACCAAAGATAAACAATCATTGTATGTTCCTGAGGAGCATGTCAACAGAATGGAGGTTGTCCTTTTAACCAGAAGATCAAGGCTTAATGCACTAATAACCAATAGAATACCAACGTGTCCTTGAGCCAGAGAATGAATGTCAACTTGCACATGTTTTGCAGTGACCAACCCAGTAGAAGGAAAGTTACATCAGAGAGGGCATCCCTCGCAAAAAAAAAAAAAAATGGTTTCAATCACTTATGTGAATTATCTCTGGAGGCATGCCCCTCGAAAAAAATCAGCAATAATCTCTGCTATTCCCACAAATTACAATAAACAGGATGTTATTACGGAGTAATGATATAAACCACCCACATGATGAGGACAAGGTCTCCTCCAAGCTGTTATCAGATAAACAGTGGCTGTTTAATGGATACATGCAAAATAATGGTTAGCGACACAGCTACAAGCTGACGGTGGATCCCATCTGTGGCCAAAAAAATGGAATATTGAGATTTTTTCTTTGGTTCCTATTGAATGTATCCTAATGGAGGTGTGACCTTCCCCAGAAAATAAAATCTTCATAATGTAATCGCATGTATTTGTATATAAAAAGCTCCAGGAAGCCATTGGAAGTCTGGAACATTATATCACAGACTTTAGTTCCCAAAAGTGAAAATGAAACTTTTCCTGCACATCTCTCAGTGCTTTGTTCAGTCTCACTGAATTTCACACTTTAGAACAATGAGAACTTACAATAGGTGTGACATCAGGGCGCCAGGTCTAAACAATAAGTCACATAGAACTATAAATTACAATGTCTCATTTTTTTACCAGAGACTCTGATCATTGTTCATTTCTTAACAACTTTTTACAGGCCTAATTTAACTATGTCATTTTATGTTTTTTCTTACTTCCAGGAAATAGAGCTGCCCATGCAGTCATTCCTCTGACTAATCAGTGAACAATGCTGCTTCTCTTTGTTCCCATATCCAGTGAAATCCTAAAGGCTTTTTTTTATCATCCTTAGTATTAGTTTCCTAAGGCTTCAGCAGCCACTGATCTATATTACAAAGAGATTGTGTATAAAACCCAAACTAGATGTTATGTCACAAAAGCAGTTATTTATAGAACGACAAATTCTTTTGAATCATTTTAACAATCTGGACCAAAAGTCAACCAAGACGTTTACATCACAATAGCATCTTTACAAAGTACAATGCTGCTGGGCGACACCACACATTTTTGCTTATCGTTTTCAAGTTTCCAAGAAGCATTGTGAAGAAATATCTTTAATTTACATTCACATGCAAATAGGCATTCTTTGGAAAAGGGCATTCTTTTAAGGGAGGATGAAAAGAGGGAGGAAAGTTCAGCTTATCACCTCTCAACAGATATTCACACGAAATACGTTGGTTTCGTCACTGGGACTAAGCAGAAATTAAGTTCCAGCAGTGTTTTCTCTGAATGGTTGGAGACAACCAGCTGCAGCTAAGGAAAAAAAAAACTTTTGTGTAGTGGCTGTAATTTGCTCCGATGACAGAGGTGAAAGGAGCCAAGGGATCAGGATGAAAAGCTTCAGCTGCCAGAAGGCCTTCAGCCAAAGTAAGAGCACTGTGCTAAAGGACAGCTTCACAGGACGGTAGCTGAAAGACATTCCCTAATCCACAGATACAGCTGTGGACTGACCTGTTGTCTTTTGATGGACACAGACTTCAATAAAACAGAATTACACACTTTCGTAACACAGGACTAGTCTATTTTTTTTTAACTTGAATTTAGCACTGTTGTCGCTAGGGAAATTACTTGTACTCTACATAGTATTTTAAAACAGATTGCTAATGCTAATTTTTATTTTATCAGATCATTTACAGTGAAATGTAAAAAGAAATGGGCCTTGATATGCTGTGTGACTATTGCCACAGTTTCCTTTCATGTGAGGATTTGCTCTGCAGTAACAAGGATGTATCAACATAATAACTTCAGCCAGTATTTTATGGTATTTTGAGACATTTTTTACGTAGCTATGATGATAGTGTAAAAGCCTAGGACAACAGTGATGAGGGCAAGATTCAGTGGCCTTTCAGTAATTTTTAGTTTTAAATCAAACGGAGATCTCTGTACTAATTAAAAAGCTTGTCAGATTGGCCGAGGAGCTTGATTTACAATAAATGACACCCTGTAAATCACTGTATCATCAGCATAATAGTTGATTAATCTAATTAAGGCACAACTTCAACCATATCAATGTCTTTTTTTCTGTATGTATGAAGCAGAAACAGAATCTGTTTTATTACTTCATTGTTGCAGGTGGAAGGGATCAAAGAAGGAGTTGGATCAGTGTAAAAATCCCTTGTAGACGACAGAAGTGCACTTGTTAGTCTGAGTGAGAGGGAGCTGAAATTAGATAGACTGAGAAAAGAGGAGGAGGGAGTACCAGTGTACCTTTGAGGTTAGAAGAGTAGATTAGTGATGAGAACATTTCTGGAAAAAAAAATCCATTGAGTTGTAGTAGCAGGTATCTTTGACCAGCAACTGTGCCGATGCCAAAAGCTGGATCCGCACAGATGTCTCTGTTATCTGTGGATAAAGGCTGAAACAACAGCTTTCCAAGTACGTTTCAATTTCCGCCAGTTTCTTACTACTTATCTGCCTTCCTTCTACTTTGTTTCTTGTTTGACTTTCCCTCATCATCTCACTCGCCTTCCACCCTCTATCTTGTGAGATACCTTCCATGGCTGGTTGATTTGGGTGAGCAGAGGGAAACAGAAAAGGCCACTACAGTTCAAGGCTCCAGAGAGCTTAGCCAGGCAGCAGCAATCAGTCACAGACTAAATCCCTCCTCTCACAGGACTGCCGCGTGCCAGGTGACATGGTCAGCAGCTGCAGAGAAATGGGCTATAGTGGGAGTTTGAAATTAAATAGACCAGCAAACAGTGTATGCACTCTTCCTCTACAGTCTGAGGGAAGTGGTCGAATATAAGGGTGTCAGAAGAAATTGCATGAGGCGAGACTCTCCTCAGTTTAAATCAAAAATGCATTGGTCATTTGTTTTCATATACCCCAGCCCACATTCTGCTGCCAACCGCCCTCACACTGATAATGACTCTTGTGACGGAGAGTCATTGGGAAGGCTACTTTCACACGGCTACAATGGTTTCAGGGTGAATGCTTGTGTGTACAAGGTGTGTGACTTTGATATGATACCAATAAGTCAACAGTTGGTCATTTCAACCATGGCAGGGGTCATTCTTTAGCCTTTTATCAAGTAGTAGTTTTGGCTGATAAATGTGCCCAGAATTTAGCTAAAGTGGTAGCATATTATCAAGACTCAGGAGTGATTTATAGAGCAGTGCAGTGCAGTGATCTTAGGATGGTAGTAACAACTGGAACTGTGTTCCTATAGTTAAACAAGATTGTCTCTTTGAGGAGCAACAGGTAACAGATGTGATTTTTGGACTGCTTCTACGTGTTAATGGCGTCGATTATATTTAGAATAAATGTGTTTTCCAAAATGTATGCAATATCGAATGCCAGCCAGTAGGGGAATGAGAATGCAATATCGAATGCCAGCCAGTAGGGGCTGTCTACCATGGATATGTTAAATATCTACAATTTTCCTCACAAACAGTGGTGTGACCTGTTTCAGGAGATATTCAGTGAAGTCTGACCCAAGGTTTGTGTGTCTTTGTCTTGCAGACATGTCTAGAGCTGGAGCGTTACCTACAGACAGAGCCCAAGCGACTGTCGGAACTCTTTGACGAGGAGCTCGATTGTCTCCTAACACCAGCGTTTATGCAGGGTGGTGACAGTGATGAAGATCTGATGGACCCTCTTCTCCCCAGCCTACCTGAGCAGCCCAGCCCTCCTCCATTACTCCTCACACTCCCCAAGGTCCAGGCCAAGGTCCTCCAGGTGCCTACCGTCAACAAGACCCCAGCAGAAGCAGGAAGTGAAACCCTTACTACCACTGAGACAGCACTTGGGGGAGTCAACGCTGCACAGCTTAGTGCTGCCGTCACATCCCTAACACCTCCATCTTCACCAGAGCTCGGCCGTCACCTCATCAAACCCACACAAACACTTACTGCGACGGCGGACGGTACCTTAACGCTCAAATTTGTGGCAAAGAAAGTGGGCTTAGGAGCGGCTAAGCTGGTGGCAGCACGAGCATTACCATCCCCGCCCAGCAGAGGAGGAACCCTGAGTGACAGTGAGCAAGGTGGAGGAGGAAGTCTGGGAGGAGACGTGGCAGAGAACAAGAAGAGGGTTCACCGATGCCAGTTCAATGGCTGTAGGAAGGTTTACACCAAAAGCTCCCATCTGAAGGCCCACCAGCGAACCCACACAGGTCAGAGGTCTTATGTGTTATTCAATTGTCTTGATGAGGAGTCTCTGACATTTTAAGTTCAGAATACTTGACCCATGAATCATTTTAATCCATTTGACTGTTCTACGTTTATATGCTCCTTTCAAATTGCTCAACTCTTTTGAATCTGGTTGTAACCCTCTTGAAATTTGCGCATACATTATCAGATGTTCAGATGTTTGACTGTTTAATAGGCGCGGCCCTTCATATTTATCACTGCCCTCATTAGTCATGATAACAGCTCAGTGATAAAATGCTCCACCTCGATGGTTGCCTAATGACTGGATTGGTAACAAATGACCTTGTCAATCCTGCCATGTCCAACTGGGCCTGACGTGCAGCGTTAGCTGCTAACCACAGCTGGCCTGTCAGTGACCCTCAAAAAGAACACACACCAGGGTAATGTGTCCAGTGACATGTAGCTGAAGGTTTTGTGCAGAGTGAGCATGTGTAGTTAGGCTTTTAGGTTGATGAAGGAGACACTTTTGTGGGGGGAGGGGGCAGTGTGAAACAGAGTCTTAAGGAAATGTCAAACATTAGAACAAAAAAGGACAAAGAACACAGAGTGAGAAAAATTCAGACAATCTACTGAAAATATTTCATTTTTTCTGGAGAATTCATTTGAAACATATTAAAGTAGGTAATACCAGAAGTATTAGACCTGACACTCGTCTGAAGCTTGAGACTTGTATAGACTTTTGCCACCTGAAGGTAGCATTACTCAGCTTTAGCTTTAACCGCACCATTATATAGTGAATGTGGGAGGGCAGTGGGGGGTTGGGGGCAGTAAGGGAGTTGGCTGTGGCCTGAAGTTTCATCTTCCACTGTGAGCAGTTTTCTTGGATTACTGCACATAGCCTGCAGACCTCCACACTGACAGACTTGGCATCATTAATCCAGCATGATACAGGATTATATGAACCCAGTGACCATTGCATGACTTGGTATAGCATTACATTTTAGGGTAGCACCTATCATATAGCCCAAAGGCCCTACAGCTGCTGTGACACTGTTATAGCTAATCCACAATGGAGCAATAGAGGAGCCGGGTTTGTGTTGGCTTGACTGGAAGCTGCAGTATCTTTGAATCGTCTGATGATTCTCCAGTCGAGTCATGCTATCCAACAATGAGCTTTTGTGCAGTCATTCACTAAGAATGAGAAGACACACGGCAGTCCTGCTGTGTATGTGTGTGTTGAAGGGGAGTGTGTGTACATAAATGTGTGGGCGGTATATTCCCTCCCGACATGTTAATTACAAGTGCAGTGCTGTGGTTTAATTAGCTTAATCCTCTTTTTGGGTTATTATGACCATAAATCATTGATCATACATGTAGGGAGGGATTATCGTAAGCTGAAACACAGGGAAACGCTGCTGCAGAATGGCTGCACAGCATCAATACACTTACTGCCTCATAGTGCACACACCAGAGGCCATTAGGAACACCATTAACGCTGGGTTTGTCAGGAGAACACCATGGATGTGCTACACTACCTTATTACTTTGAAAACCTCGTTCCTCTCTTCATATTAGTCCAAAAAACCTTCGGCTTCAAGGCGATTCCAGGTTTATTTTCTCATTAGAAAATGTTTAATTAGACGATGACTTGTAACTTCAACACATCTATGAATTCATTCAGTCCTAAAGGCAGAGCTGCACTGTGACTAAGCCAGGATGTTCCCTGTGCTCTGGGTGTTCGGTGTTTTACTCCCTTGTTGTCGTAGATGGATCCTTTAGAACTTGAGATAACAGCATATCACGTCTTGTTTATTTAAGCAGCAGTCCAATCAAAACACACAAACACTACAGTAAGTTGACACAGAGTATCAGTAGAGATGAGGTGGATCAGAGGGGATGTGGAGTGCTTGACTTTTGTTAGTATTAACAGCAGTTGATTACAATTCAAATTTGGGGGAGATATTATCTCAGTGTTTGATTATTTCTACAGCTGCCAACGAACCTGATACTGTTGAGTGCCTGACTCCAGTTTGGACTTGATCTTGGACAAACCTGCCTGTGGTCCTGAAGGACAGAACTGTACTGTATATCCACTAAGACAGTTAGTTCAAAGTTCAAAATCTGGTGCTCTGACTCTGGCCAGTGTTCTTCTTCTTGTTTAGGGCATTAACTGTTTTAACGTATTAAACTTTGTTTTAATAATTCCTTTGAAAGTTGCATTCAAGCACATGACCAACTTAAATACTGCATTCTAATCTGTGCATGTTTTGACTAAATTACAATCCATTGCTTTTGATTCAAACTTAAATACAATTTTAGGTTTAACAGCAAATGAAGTCCACTGAGTGACTGTGCTGTTCATCTGGAGTTTACCTGCTATAAATGTGTCGTATAATTTTAAAAGCCAAAGCCACTAGATACTCAGCGCCACTAACACAAGTCCGTCAACACTGCCAGAGACTAGACATCTCTGAAAATAGTTCCCCATGTTGACGCAGGGCTCCATGTCTACTTACTGCAGTGCTTTCTCAGTGGCAGCTGTCAATCATGTAATGTCAAACATTTAATGGACAGTTGAAGTTGCCCCTAAATAGAATTTTGAGCTCCAATACTGTATAAAATTTAAAACGTATTCAGACAAACCAACAAAAAGAAGCACAGATCACGTTTGTTACTGATTTATTGATATAAAATGCCAAAGGCTTTTTCTGAACAGGACCTGCAGATCCATTTGACTTTAACAATGAAACTAACAAATTATGAAGTTCACTTCTTTATTTCTAAGGGGAGAGAGTGTTTTATTTTTGGTTTAGGTGTAATTACAAATATATTCCCCCTGATAGTCAGCTATGGCTTGAAGTGTGGTAAAGGTCATAGGTCACGACTGGGGTCACTGACAGCTCCAGTCTGACTTTCCAACACTTCAACCTCTGCTTTGGCCTCACACAGTGAAGGTACCGAACCCAGCTACACACACACACACACAAACACACACCTACGTGCTCCTTTAGACCCACTGAATCAATCCCACACCCCCACACCTTTACCACCACCCCCCTCACTCATTCAGTTTGGGTTGCCAAGCAACTGCATCACACTCTGCCATAATTGGATGGTGGCTGGTGGATTGTCCATGCCTGTTAATCTCCCTCTCTCACTTTCTCCCTCTTTTTCTCTCCCTCTCCCTCTCTTCTTGTCGTCCTCTCTCACCCATCCACACATGCACACACACCCTCTTTCTGTCTCTCGCTCAGTTGCTAGGTGACTTTATCACGCATCCTTGCCTTGCCTTGCTATAATTGGCTGGCGTCATGGTTGCTGTGGCGTCAGGCCCGAGCTGGCCTTGCTTCGTTCCACCAACAACATGCATGTGTGTGTGTGACTCTGTGTCTGTGTGTGTCTCTTTTCTTCGGGGGGTCCTACTGAAGGAAGACTGGGTGCTCTGGCCAATTACAGAAGACGGGTGTGAAACGGCCGCCTGTCTGGCACCTGCGGCCCCCACTCATACCCCATTTACACACACACACATAAACACGCAGGTTGAGAGTGTAGCATTTCTCCAGCAAGCCTGGGGGATAAGCTGCCAAGTGGTTTTGCTATTATATATTGAAAATATTGGTCCCATATTCAGAATGTGGAGTCTGTGCAGTGAATGGGGGTATTCACACATGCAGATAGCCTTGAAGCTATCTCACACATTCACACAGTTGCACCAGAGGATTTCGGGACTTTATAAAAATGTGTAACTTCCTGATATACGGTGTATACAAGGAAGGGTGACGATGGATGTTTTGCAGTAAAACAAATGAAACCTGGAAAATCTGTCATTAAACGAGAAACGAATTAAAAACGTCAAATGTATAGAAAATGTTTCCCTGTATAAATTAAACACAACAGTCGGAGGAGTCTCTTTTGAAAACCGTCAGTTACCGATATTGGAATGGTTGGAATGTGCTGACCATCTATCCCTCTTTTTCATCATCATGGTAGCAGTGACAATATGAGGAGCTCTGTCCCAAAACCTAGACACTTATCACCAGCAAACAGCTCCTAGGAAAAGTTGCACATGCCGGTAGATGGAGTCTAAAATTCTAACTCTATCACTCTTTTTCAAAAAAGCAAATACAGGGTAGTGCAATTTCTGTAGGTGCAACAGATGAGCGAGTTAAGTCGAAACAAAAATACAAGATAAATAAAAATATGGAACAGAAATAGCTGAAAATTCAAATATATCCAAGAAAAAGCTGAAGGTGAAGAAAAAGTTCAGTAAAAAAGTCCTCGGTCACATTTACTCCTGTCTTAGAGGCAATTCAGATTGTTTTAACTAGACAGAAAAATCTCATACCAACACCTGGTGGTCATTGGTGGAAACTCCTTCTATACATAACTTCAAACCCAAACAATATCAATTTTGAATATATAGAAGGCTTTAATATTTTAATGAATAAAATTAGGGTTAAAGTGAAAAAAGTAAAAACAAATACTTTCTTCCAATGTCACTTCAGTTGTCCACATCATTTGGATAGAGTACTGTCATTTGCTTCCACCCACTAACCAATCATTTACAGTTGTAAAGCTGGAAATCCTGACTTTAACACATCCACACATTGTACAATACAATGTAAAAACAGAGACAGAGGGAAAAAAACATTTCCCTCAGGGAGTCAGTATTTGACGTTTCACGATGTGCAGCCATCAGTGGGGAGAGAGAGGTGAGGGAAAAGGGAGAGAGAGAAGAAAAAAAGACAAGAGACAGGAGGATATGTAGAGAGAGGAGCGAGACCAGGAGCGGAGAACAGTTGTGTAAGTGTTTAACTGTCAGAGTAGTCGCTGTAAAGACACTCTCATAGGCAATGATGAAGCTTTGAATAATGCCAGTGTAAAACACACTTTTCTCCCAATAACCCACACTTACATTTCCTACAATGCCACTCAGTGCAGCAGTCATCTGTATTGTCTACCTGTTCTACCTCTGTACTTCTAATCAGACACAGGAAGCAGATTTTGAACTCGTTTAGTTAATGTATTAGTGGTTCCCAAAGCCAGCACCCGATTGGTAATTAAGACGTTCTGGTGTGGCTGTAGCCCAGAAGGTAGTGCAGTTGATCTGCACCCAAGCGGTTGTGGGTTAAATTCCAGAATAAGTAGGTTATATCCTACTTTAATATAAAAGACTGTGGAAATGTTGACAAAGTTCCAGTTAAAACATCAAAACTCCACTAGACCTTTTCTAGAAAACTGATACTCATCATTTGAATAGGGAAAAAAGTTATCAGTGACCTGTCAAAAGAGGAAAACATTACATTTGAAATAAATTAATGTTACTATTGCCTGTCCTGCATGAGCTCCATGCCCTGATGGCAGGCCCCCCCCCCCCCCACACACACAAACACACCCACCTTGGCCACATCGGCATGTTGTACATTACAGTTTTTATTTAGAAAGGCTAAAAATAAAAACCAGCGTTGGTGTAAAAACCAGGAACACATATGAGATTTGAATATAGAGTTTGAATATGCAGAGTATGAGCTGGAATATACGTATATGTAGTGCCAAAACAACTGTGTCACTCTACAGACGCACACTGTGAATGAATGATGACCCCCCCGGCCGCCCTTCAAAGAGTCAGGAATTGAGGAAAATTCAGGACAAGAAGGTACAATCCACAGACGGATATTCTAAAAGGCACGTCGCCTTTTACCTGTCATTGCATCATCATCCTCTCTCACAGCTCTTCTGCACCTGTGAAGGTGCGATTTCTGTTGGTTGGGTTATTCTGGCACAATGATTACATTAAAGCCCTGAAAACCAATCTCGTGCTCTGTATTCCAGTCGAATGCGATGGAGAAAATGTGCTTGTGATTGAGGATTTATGGATAAACAGAAAAATCTCATATAACTGAAAATAGGTGGCTCTTCGGGTAGATTGGATTTTCTTTTAAGTTTCTTTCCTATTATACTTGACTTAGGATATTGGATATTTTCAACAGGATCTTATAGAAATAAGCAAGTGACACCCATGGCACTTGCCTGGCTTCCATAGTCAGCCACAGGGGGGGTCAGGTCGCAGTTCCTCTGAACCATGATATTCAAAAATGGTATTTTAAAGTGTGGTGAAAATAAATGACAAATATATGTTGTAATTCTTGTCATAGGCTCAACATACAAATCAAATCTGTAACCAGTTTATCATGGATAAATGATTCATTAAATGAACATATGGACAAGTCTGCCATTACCTACAATTAGAAGTATCCACAGCCGTTACAGTTTTGGAAAGGAGACTCCAGTCGTGTGCAGTGAAGTCACACAATTATCTATTGTTGTCTATTTCTAATGTATACCTGGAAGAGCGTATTTCTTCCAGTGTCAGGCGGCGAGTTCCCCGGCAGGGTCCCCCCCCCTCCCTCCCCCCCGACGTTAGCAATCTGTTGTTGACAGCACACTAACACAGGTGACCTTTCACAGAACAGAAGGTCAAAATCTCTCCAGATCATGGTTTACTGTTTAAACACTGGCCAAGAATGGAAGCGTCTCAGAATCTTTTCCCACGTTTGGGTGTGAAAAAAAGTATTTTGTCTTTGTTGTATTTTAATTCCCCGGCATTAGAGCGGGACTTAAGGCAGATGGCCTTGACAGGAAAGACAAACTAAAGGGCCATTTTTACTGATGTACTTGTGTCCTAAAATGTTTCCACCTTGTAATTTAATGCCTCACTTACCACAATGTCCCCACTTTGTTTTGGACGGGAGTGAGTTTGTGTGTGTCTCGTCACAAAGATCGGTGCGTGCCGTACACACAGGAGTGGAGGGTCTGTGGGGACAGCTGGCTAACTGACTGTAAGCTGCTGTATTAGTCCCCATTAAGACTCATTAAGATCCCAATTATAGTCACCACCCCCTAGTTCACACACACACTCTGAAAGTCTGCAGAAAGATTTGGCCAGAATTTTAATCACAGCTGAGAAGTCGCTGCATTTTACTCTGGCTTATTATCATTATTTTCTGTTGTTTTTTTTATTACAACCACAGTGAGTGATGTAGTACTCCATTGATACATAAACACTTACTATAAATGAGACCATTGTCGCCTTGAGGCTGCAAAAACCAACCCTGCTTCACTTATACCACCAAACAATGCAAGGTCACATTTCTCTGGAAAATACTTTGTAACAGTAAATCTGGGAATAATTTGGTACAAAGTGTAGGAAAAGAAGAATTTGATAAACAGTTTTTGTCAGATTACGTGTTTTTCAGCCTGTGACCTTTTTCAGGGTCAAATACTTTTCTCACTTTCAAGGTTTTTATATTACTGTGCAGAAAAACCACAACAGAACGCATGAATAATATAACCACAGTCACTGCTAGCTGTTAGCATTACTCAATCTGTACTGTGGGTTAGTGTTTCTCAAACCGTGAGTCGTGACCCGGTGGGTCTTGCGGTTCAGTCTGGTAGATCACAGGACTGGACCTGGAACCGTTGATTCCAGTTTTCTCCAGTTCTGCAGCAGTACCTTCTCTGTTCAGCCTGGGTCTTCACCGTGAGCCTCGGCCTTGTTTCAATTTTCTTCCACTCAGCTTCTCTTCTACACTACAGCTTGTTTCTCTACAAGAAAAAAACACCCTCAATTTTATTGAACTCTTGTTCAGGGGGAGGAGGGGAGTTTTGTGTTACAACCATTTTTTTTTAAATGTAAGAACACTAAAGAAACAACAGCTCCCCGTCAAAATATTTGTTGCATTTCAACCTTTTATTTAATAATGCCATTTTAAATGTAATGGTACATTTTGGCCAAGGTTAAGACTGATGACTTCTGCATAATGATGGCTCGATAAAAAATGTCTGGCATTTCTGAAAGAAAAGAAAAGAAACAAGTCAAGTAGGAAATAATAATAATTCCAGTCTGATCAGATCTGATTGGTCTTGCAAAAGTTTGGTTTTTACTGCTGTGTTTAACATGGACTCTTATTGTGAAACATACTGTGCCGAGATCTCCACAAACAACATGGAGCACAATTCAGAAGTGAACAGGATGAAAGTGCAGAAATGATCTAAAGTTAAAATAAAAAAGTATGATTATATATATGTTACTGTTGTTGTTTCTATATATTTATAGATTTTTTTTAAAAATATACTTTTATACTGAGTCTGCTGATTCAGAAATGAAGGACCAGTTGTTTGTCATTTTCAGGCACATTTTTGTGTAAAGTCTAGTGTGAGTTCTAAGGCTGCATAATGTGAAAACTGCAGTTTTTTTTCCATATGCTGTCAAACCCCAGTGTTTTTGCCTCTTTTTGTGTGTGTTAACATAAACAGCTGTGCTTTTTCTTTTTCAGCCCACTGCCTGCTCCTGGTTTAAACCCACAGGAATATTTTAAAAGATGACAAAAAATATAGCTGTGCATAAAGTAAAAGAAACACAGTTTTACAGTGGTGTGAAATATATTCTTTTAATTGCTTGTTATTGTTGTTTCTGTCTTATATACTGAGACATATTAAACAGTCTGGAGCTGTGTTGTTCCGCCCATGGCCAGCAGTGGAGGTACTGCAGTCACAGAACCAAATCAAAGTCCGGGGTTAAAGGGTGACTCAGATGCCAGCTTTGTTGTGTACACTTCACATCTCTGACTCCAGAACGGCAGTGTGTTATTTAAGCTCACACGCACTGGGGCAACAATAAGACTGAACGTGTTTGTTCGGTGTAAACAAACAAGACGAGGAGTCGTCTTAACAACACAACAACAACAACATCGCAGGATCTTTGTATAAAAGCTGCTCCAGAAAAAAACAACAGTAGTCTAACAGGCATTTACACAGTCAGAGTCAGACATCAGCCGGTCCCATCTGAAGCCAGAGTGCGCCTACACATCTCACACACACATTACACACACCTCTAACCCAAAGACACACACACACACACAGCTGGAAGGTTTACTATCACGAAGAGATAACTACAGGCTGAGAACAATAGAGCATCTCTTCTCCCATCTGGTGAACTGGGGGATGAAACTTCATTTACATTTCAGATCCAACCACCTCCGGGTGTGTGTGTGTGTGTGTGTGTGTTCATGCATGCACACAATGAGTGGTGGGCAGAGGGCAGGTGATGGGAGAGAACCAAACAAGATTCATTTCAGGGTGAATTTGTGATTATGAATTAACATGCCCCGCTGCTAAAAGATTTCATTTACAGCTAATTGAGTGGATTGGCTCATTGAAATGACTGTGGTGCAGAAACAGGATGTCTTGCCTGTGGGCAGTGTGCTTTTGTGTGTGTGTGTGAAAGGGGGAGGGATGGGTGATTCCATTGGCGGTAGTTACCACCCACCTCACCCTGCTGTTTCTCTCGTCCTCTCAGGTGAGAAGCCCTACAAGTGCTCATGGGAAGGCTGCGAGTGGCGTTTCGCCCGCAGTGATGAGTTGACACGACACTACCGCAAACACACCGGAGCCAAGCCATTCAAGTGCAACCACTGCGACAGGTAAAACACACACAGTGCAATGATGCTTGAAGATTTACACGTAGCGCAGCATTTTGTGTTTGCGTGAGAGCAATGTCCTCCATACGTCAACCTTGATGGTCCGCTGGAGCTTCCTGAAAATGAAGTCACAAAAATGTAACGCCGATGTAACGCTAGAAATGAATCTTCCAAAAACAAACTGAATTCCTTGGGAAATTAACCAACAGGGAGGAATATGGAAAGATTCTGTGAGGTAGACTTCTCAATAATTAAGAAGCAACAGACTGAAAACCTCACTCACCCTTTGTCGCACAGACAGGAATGGTCAAAAATTTAGATCAGTAGATAAAAAAGAATATTGAGGGAGAAAAAGAGCATAAATGCACGGTGGTGTTTGATCGTCCCAGGCTTTAAAAGTTAACAGCCATATTCTGAAATGAATACAGATTTTTATTAGTAACCAGTGCAGGGACATTAAATTTGACACGATATGGGATCTTTTTGGATAAGTGAGGATATTGCTAAAGCCAGAGGACATGAAGTTTAGAATTTTTATCTCCTTTTATGCCTTAGAAACGTTAAATCTCACTTTGAGCTGTAATAGTGTAACAGTGTACGGTACATTAGATTTCCAAAGGAGGCGTTTGTAGAGACTGATTCACTGTTGAGCAAAGTCATGTGTTGGTCCTGTAGACAGAGGTTCTCATGTGAAGCTTAGTTTGGAACCTGATTTCTGAATATCTGTTTGTTTTCTAAAGTTGTATTGGTGTAAATGGACACAGTGACACCTACTGCAAAAACTACACGAAAAAAAATGTTATCTTGTTGAATGTTATCAAAATCTAGTAAAAGATCAGCAGCAATTCAATTAAATATGTTCTTTTTTGTAAATAGGCATCGTCTGATTTGCTAATACATCGGGGCCTAATACTGAACCCTGTGGGACACCATGTGAAAGCTGCATTAGATCTGAATAGTAAAGCATTCAAACTTGAATCTATTGTCACTCAGTTATAATAGAGTTGTTGTTCTCCAGGTTAACCACAACTAAATATCTTTCATATTCATTACAAAACAGTATATATATATGTAAATATATATATATATGTATTGATAACATTGTATTTGATTTGATGTATTTGATGTGTATAAAGGAACATGGCAAAATCTTATTTAAAAAAACATTTTTCTTCAGAGTTTTTTTGGATAGTGACCAGTTGGCAACACCTCTACAGTATTTCAGAAACATATATTTTCTATAAAACCTGCCTTGCTTCAGTGCTTGGTAATTCATCCACCACAGCGGGGAGTCTCGCACAGAAGCTCGACAAATGATAAATAAATAAAACAACATTTTTCTTTCAGCTCCGCTCCACACACACACATCTCATGTGGGCGAAACAGATAATGAAATAATGCAACAAATTTGCTATGCAGACTACAAATCCCTTAAACAAACAGTTTAGAGACAAATTTCTGCTAATGGCTCAGCGTGATGCTTCCAAAGGATGTGAGCGGTTTCCTAAATAATTTCCATCTCTCAGCAGTTGTTTGCACAATGAGCTCGGCTGAATTTGTAACAGTTGAGGATGATTAAGGCTTGAGATTGTAGCTTAAAATGCAAAGTATTCTTACAAAAATTAGGGAATTCATCGTGCGTTCACAGTTTGCCAACAAACGTTTTCAGTAAAACAGTCACGGTTGATTTTAGTCATTGATCAGAGCTTTTTATTTTTATTTTAATGTCGCTGACTCACACCCGAAGCAGTTTGACTTCAAAAAATACGGCGAGGACCAGGGCTGAGTGCGTTTGTACAAAAGCCAGGTAGTTGCTGAGAGAGTCACATTGTCTGCTCTATATTTGGTTTTCAAGGTGTGTGTGTGTGCACGTGAGCATGCACGTGCAGTTACTCATGCGCTTACCTGACCCTGCGCTGGCTGTTAAATGGATTCTGGCAATTGGCAGACTGGTCGCAGCTAATTGAGTGGCACCAGATGCCAGCTCCACACTTTAACATACACACTCTGTGCTGGCGTGTGTGTGCGTCTGTGTGTGTCTACACACAGAAACACTAGAACACTTGCCCTAGAGACAGTGTAATTGGCTGTTGTAGGTTCCCTCTAGTTTAGGTTTTAGATATTAAACCCTCCAGAAACCTGCTGGAAGCTTCTAATCCTGGCTGAGAGCTGGGACTGCATTTTATACACACACATGCGCACAGGCACACACACACAAACACACACACACACACAAGGCTTATGCAAATATTCTTGTTAGGACTGTATGAACTTCTGTTTGAATGAACAGCTCCTCAGAAGGCTCCGTCCTCCATCTAAACCATCACCAGTTGCTGCCTAATCTCAGCCTAACTACAATTCCCTTAATTCTTACTTTAATCTCAGCCTCAGATTTGAGGTTTTGCCTCATTAGTACTGAGGTTTCCCCGTGAGGATTATCAGACCTGACATGGTCCGTTGGGTTCTCAAAACAGCAACAAATAAACTCAATATTCTCACATACACATGTGTAAAATTACATGTAAATACGAACTATATATATTTTTAACAGCAGCTATTTTACAAATGTATCATTAATAACAAGAAATAATAATAATTGCTTTGAACCATTTTCAAATGAATCCCAGCGAACTTCATCAGTTCACTCTATGTCTTTGTTGTAACTTTGTTTGGACTTTTGGTTACTGTTTGGCTAGTAATCAGCTGTTGTTGCTAACTTCCTGGCTAACTTATTGCTAACCTTTGGTGTTCAAACTATGTTCTATTTACTATTTGTGGATTAGTCTCATTCTTCGTCTTCTTTAACTGTTTTCTATTTTTTGGGTACCTTCAGTCATTTTTGATAATTGTTAGCTTCCTTGGCTAACTGTATTCAAATCAACCTTGTGGCTACATGTTAGTTAAACCTAAACCATATTTTCTGCAGTGTAATCACACAGTACGTGTGTGTACTTCAAAAGCCCATCTGTTTTCAAAGGAACATTAAAAGCCTTTGACATAAGGCACTTTAACATATTTAAAGAGCGCACGTACGCACACTTCCGACTTTAATAAAGATGGATAAGCAAGTCAGCTTCCCTCTCTGCTTCATTGTTGTCATCGTCAGACACAGACTGGGGTTTGAGCAACTGAATATTTATGATTTCAAATCCTAAAATACAAGATTAATGGAATTGAACTTAACACAGCCGGACTCCGCCTCAGCTTTTACTGTAGTACACACACACACACGCACACAAGGACACCCACACGTGAGTGCGTATACACATCTGTGGTGGGCGGAGCCTTACAACTATTAACATGACAATGGCAAAAAGTGGCAACCATGGAGAGGTTAACATTAGATAGACTTTTGAAAATGACAGTATATCTCCTGGGAAAACACACACACACACACACACACACACATTGTGCAGTCTGTCATTAATCCTGCCTAATCAAGCAGGGACCCCCTGATGTTTTCATGTAGCTGGAAGGAGGAGAACAAAAATAAGTGTAGAGGAGCAAGGAGAATTCAGAGGAGGAGTAGAGGGGAACGGGAAGGAGTGCGCGTATGTTTGGGGGGAGGCGGGACCAGCTGGTGTAGCTGGTCCTGCCCCCCAACAGTGACACAGTAACTGGCATGGCCATCTGTCCAGACTCACACACACACACACACTCACGCGCACACACGGATCAGTGAAGGTGCATTTGAAGGTAGCACATGGTCAGCTGAGGGAAACACTTAAATACAAACACAGGAGTAAAGTTTGACCTCACACTGGTCAAATAATTCAATCAAAACACAGCTCTACCTCACTGAGGCTGAGGTGCAGGTGTTTACTAAAGGTTTCTGATCAGACAGAGGTCAAAGATTAAAAAAAACAAAAGCAATTTGCCCTCTAAATTGCTCCACGGGGATAAATAAAGTTTGAATCTGAGCTAATTTACTGGAGGTCAATCTGTGTTTTATACATTTTAACGTAGACAGAATTTTAATACCGATCAAAAAATAACATATTAATTCTTCTTGGAACTTTTACACTAAGGATTTCTTTTAAATAATTCCTCACTTTAAGTCATTTGTATATAACTGTTATTACTCACTTTGTTACATTTTAACTCTTCTTTTAGACTCAAAGAGGCAAAACTTTATTTAACTTTTGTCTACTCTTAAATCCAGTAAGTATTTTATTTTATTTTTTTGCTCAATTTATGTAAATTACTCATGGGCAGACGTTTTTAGCCATTTTAACTTTTTTGGTCGACTTTCATCCACCCTCTGTCTGATATTTTGCTATTTCTATTTTCTTATTGTCATCTATTTTATATTGAACTGTGTCATCTTATATTTAGGGTTAATATTTATTTATTGTTTTTTTTTTATCCTTGATAGTAACATGATATTAACTCTTTATCATTATATGGCGTACAAAGATTTTAAATAAAATCCCTTTTCGGCAGAAGCTAAAGGCTAAACATCTAGAAATCTAGATTTTGCAAAAGCTAACTTTATGATGTAAAGTCTGTAGATCAGTGAATGCCATGTCAGTGTTCCTGTGGAGGATATCTCACAGTCACAGCTCAGGTGGCATTTTCGCCTAAGGTAAATCCAGCTTTTAAAAAATTGTACATTTCCATATTTATGGTAATTTTATCCTAAAATAAGTTGCTTCAAACCCCATTCCCTGCTGGTGCAAAAGAATGAATTTGAGCGATAGAGTGGAGCGAAGACATAAAAGAGTTAGAAACACAACACATCCTACTGCGGCGCGACAAACTTTCTATTGTACTTCTGAGTGTTTGGGCTCCGTCTGCTTGTATCGGGACAGAACAACAGCCTGTCTCATCGCTCACGCACTCACAGGCTCAGAGAATGGCCATAATTAATAATGAATCAAGCCCCTGGCAAATTGAATTTTTAATTTGTCTCCACCACATTCGGCTTTGCCTCTGCTTCAGTCGCATCATTCATGATTAATTTTATTTTGCATGTTTATCATTAATGTCCTCACGATGGTGTAATTAAAGTAAAATATTTCATTATGACGACATGACTTGTGAGCCCTATATTGTGCATCAGCAGCACTCGGGTTTATGTCTGTGTCTCACTGTCTGATGGCAGGTGCAGCCACTGCAGAGTTAAATGGTCCAGGATCAGACTGTGCTGCCAGTCTGTCTGCATTAGTGTTCATGTTCACCATACATATCTAATTAGCTTCCACAGGAGTGTTTCATCTGAGCTGGAGAACAGACTGCAGTGCTGTGGAGGCCTGGCTGTTATTTATGCTTTGGTTGCATTCAGAACTTCTACTTGTGCTGCTTCCGGGCTTCGAACGACAGTTAAATCAGTGTGTTGTTAAAATGAGGGACTGAAATTTGCAGGGTTTCAAAACAAAAGTTGTTTAATTTTCTCGTTTTAAACCACATTTTTGTTGTTTGTTTTTTTTTTAACCGCTGTGGTTTCACCAAATTGAAGCTCTTCTTTAGGACAATGGCATTTCAGTCGATTTTCCATGGTCAGGGTTTTTTTCTGCTTCTTCTCTGGTTTCCTTCTACAGTCAAAAAAGTTCAGATTGGTGGAGACTTTTAGACTCACAGCTTTGTTTCTGTTGTTGTTTTAAACATTAGATGGAATGATTAACTTACTGCACCCTGTAATCAGGAGCTCATCATCTTAATGTACAATACTTTTATCTATAGTGCTCACTTTGTTTAGCTTTTTTATCTCTTCTATTTACATATGAAAATGCACCTCACAAGTTACCAGCTGTTAATAATGTCCGTGTTCAGATAACTGCACAATTATCTCTGTGAAAAGTGTTGTTTTGTGTTTCTGCTGCATTCATTAATTTAAATTTGAGCTTCTTTGCCCATAACCTGCATTTACAGATTTAATGCATTTTGTTCTGTTTTCCTCCAGGTGTTTCTCTCGCTCGGACCACCTGGCCCTGCACATGAAGAGGCACATCTGAGGGCATCGGGAGGGATGAGCAGGAGTGAGGAAGAAGCAGGAGAGGATCAGGAGGAGGAGAAGTAGGAGGAGGAGGAGGAAAAGGAGGAAGGAGAGAGGGGCGATCGAGACATCAACCGCCCGCCTCGTTCACCCCGTCCAAAAACATTCAGCAGCCATGATGCCTGGAGGGCAGCACATCCATCTGAGTGGGCCTCGAAGATCAGTCGGACTGATGGCTCTGACGTGGAGGGCGATGATTGGAGGAGAACGAGGAGTAGCTAAATTGTTGTTTTTCTTAAAAAAAAAAATACTACACATTCACACACTTACAGTTGTTAAACACCTGTCTTTAAACGCATCATCCCGGTGACCTCCAGATGCCGTCAAGTGGTTCTGGGGGATTGGACACTGCCAAACCAATATATACTTAACATTACACAGCATTTAATTTCTCTGTCTTCAACGTGTTGGGTGAGAAGGTGGTTCAGTGGAGAAACTTCAAATATACGTATAGTCAAGTTGTTAGTGCTCTGCCATATCCTGAAATCAAATACTCTGCTTTTTACATTCTTTTTTTCAATGTTTTTCCAAACATGGACTATAAGAAACCATCAACCGCCGCCGTCAGTGATTCACATGAAGAAAACAACAATGGCAAATCTGCAGGAGAGAGTGACTGGTCAGATCGGCTTTTAGCATTGCTGACAATCGAACCCAGGGCTCGGAGGCTGGGTGTTCGCCTGCACCCAGGGGACCTCGGTCAGCGGGTGCTACTACTGCGACTCTCAGGCTCTTCTCCAGTGGGTGTTTGCATCTCACCTTCAGCGAGACGCCTGCCACCTCCGCTGGCTATCTGACAGAAATGCGCAGCGACACTTTCTTCCCTTTTTTTCTACGTAAAAAGATGATAATTCTTTTTTTGTTATTACAAAGAATGATACTTTGTTATTTTCTCTCTGGGAGAAAATTGTCTTAAAACTTACTGAATTGTTAAACGGAAAAAACAAACAAATCTAAGATGACTTCAACAGAATGTGTGGGATGAGGAGGAGAGCGTTGTTGGTCTTTTAATCCCCATGTGCACTGACTCTGCTTCATGAGAGAGAACAGCAAGCGGAACCGCAGAACCTTTTTGGACTGGAATGAGAGAAAAGAGGAGAGAGAGGTCTATGGTTCGCCGTTCTCCCCCTTCTGCGTTGCAGTCCACTAAAAAAAAGAACAAAAAAAAAAACACTGAAAAACAGAACCCTGCTTGATCCTCCATAGACGCGCACACACACTATCTGAATCAAGGTGAGAGGATGTGAGATGAAAAACTTGGCTTGTTTGGTTTTCATTTTGAAATCATGCCTCTCGCTCTAAGACTCTAAAGATCTCATCTCACCGACAGAACTGCAAAGACAAGAACGGAGGCTCCGGAGCAGCTTTGTTTTCATCCACATGGGACTAAAGATGTCAACCAACCTCTGTTTGTTGGTTCTGAACAGACAGTCACACTGAGCTGGTCAAACTTTGCCTGTTTCGTATCCATTGACAGCACTGATTTATATATACATATATATATATAAACATATTTATATATGTATATATATATACGTTATCTGTGCTTTTTTTCTACAAGTGAAAAATACGGAAAAAGAAAAACACAAAAGAAAAAAAATTATAAAAGACTTGGAAAATAGACAACAAAAAACAATGCTGTTTTGCTCTATACTTTGCATACAAAACACACACACACACACTCACACCAACACACACACTGCAGTTTCTTCGCTCACGGCTCCTTGTGAGATAAGACTAATAAGATTTAGGAAAATAATTAATAAACTGATTAACAGAGTTGGGGAAACAAAACACTGCATGACAGACACACACACACACACACACATAAGCACACTCTTCCAGGAATTATATGTTCTGCTCCCAAATCTTTTTTCACAGTAGGAAATTAGCGATTGTTGCTTCGTAGAAGAGAATCTCTGCTCTCAGCTGGGGGTAACAAATGGTTTCAAATCCTTTGAAGTGAGAAATCTGCTTGTTTTCATTTTCACCAATCGGCCACATTCAACTCGCTACAGTTTGTGCCTCTCATTTAAATAACATTTTTCACTTACTGTTGGCAACCAGCGCGTCGTGAGCCACCGTCTCAGCCACGACGTATGTAAGTAACTAAATTAGCAACAGTCTTTGCAGCTTTGCAAATGTTCATTACCCTGGAAAACCCAATTACTGTGCTTTACCTTCATGAATTCCAGCGGCTCTTAACACATCACAGGCTCCTTAGGTTTGGCCAACTATCACAGTCATGCAGTAACTTGTTCAGCAGATCTTTAACAAGGAACAGTCAGGATGCAGGATGTTAATTAAACCACTGATATCACGTTTGCAGTCAGGATGTTAATTAAACCACTGATATCAAAAATATTCCTGACGCAACTGACTTGTCTGCCCACCTCCACTTTTGTGATTTGCCCTGTAGCACATTCCAAACAGTCAAATATTCACTGCTGCTGCTGCTGCAGCTGGGTGAGAGTGCAGCTTTCCTGAAGCCGGTAGGAGATTTCACATCCTATCTTGCCCAATCACTCTGCCAGTTGGACTTGCCAGCACCTATTAGGGTGAAACAGTGAAGAAATTCCCCTGCAGGAGGAGGGTGTTAAAGTGCAGCTCTGAACAATTGATGCCAAATACCTTCAGCTCGGCTCTGCCCCTTAGCCACAGGCGAAATCTCCACAGTCAGCAGGACGCCGCCTCCATATGAGACCATCATATCCAGAGGCAGATTCTTCTACTCACTCACCTTCTGCTTCATATGACAAATAATCACACCGTGCTTCTGTTGCTAACCAGAGTTTTATTTTCATTGCATTTCTCTGTTAGTGTTGTTTTTAGGAAGGGGCAACGCCACTTTATTTTTTTTAATCACATTTCAACTAAATTTGTGTGACATTTTATTGAAAAGGAAACTCCTCAAGAGAACCCTCCTGCTTCTCTTGAGCAGCCACAAAGGCATTATAGATGGTGGAAAAGTGTCATACTTCTCAGTTAAACTGTCAAACCCAGTGAATGCCGTTATCACATTTGTCCAACCAGAAGCACTGTTTGTTGCCTGCTAATGTAGTATCCGATGCTAAGTACCACACACAAACACAGGGCGATTCAAACTGATCAAGTCGGATATTCCGGGGAATTCCAAAACCGATATGGTGTGTTTTGCAGAACTCTGGAACATGACGTATGCCACCTGTTCAGATGCTTTTGTGTCTTACACGTTAGCCCAGAACGACTGCTGGGCTAGCTTGCTGATAGCAAACCAACAGACTTACATCGCCTTGTTTTACAGATTACTGTTTACTATCAGATCAAATGTGACTTTAACCCTCAAATTTAAACTTCAACACCCGTGCTTGAACTGATACCCAAACTTCATATAGTATAAAATGTCGACAGCACCAGATCAAATATACTCCTGTAAGTCAAAGAAGCCCTCCTTTAGGGGGCGTACAATCATGGAGGGATGGGGATCGTAGCACTTTTAAAAGGCTTTTGATGAGTGAATGTGTTTTTGAGTGTGTGTGTTTGTGTGTATGTGTGTCCCATTAGGCAAACTGTGAGGGAGGCAGTGTTTCAGCGAAGAGGTTGATAACAGATTTTTAAACTGCTGAACATGTGTGCAACCATATGGGAGAAGTGGTTGTTGATGAATTTACTGTTGGAAAAAATGCTTTTAATCAGAGAAAATGGTCAAAGACGCGGTTATTAGGACTTATGCCTTCATTTGTTGATTTATTTTTACAAGTCATGGAGCTTGATGACATCCATCGATCAGATGCAAATTGCACTTAACATTCAAGCACGCTAAAATCAGACAAGCTAATAAAAATGAGAATGAAATAGCGGTTTTCTAAATGAGACTTATGGCTCTCTCTCTCTCTCTCTCTCTCTTTCTCTTTCTCTCTCTACAGCATTTGTTTTCTTCTTTCTTCTTCCCCCATATCTCAGGATGAGTTGTTTAGATGACAAGAATATTGATACAATTATCCCATTGTAAAAAATGAAATCCTTAAATGATCCTTTGTAAAATAATATTTTCACTATTTAAAGAAGGCAGATGCAATATCAGCTGCTCATTTGCATAACTTTACATATTTGTCCATTATTTTTGTTCAACCAGAACCACCATTCTATGCTGCAAATATCCCAAGAAGCTGATCCACAGACAGGAGGCCATCAGTGTCTCCGTGTACTGTGCCTGTAGGCCAACTTTATAATGCACAGAAACTAAAAGAAAATCCTTAAAATGATCATTTTAAATGCCTGGACAGCTTTAGAAATTCCACTCTTCTGTCCAAAATGTAGTGATTTTATGTGAATTCATAAAATCTATTTCATTTCATTACTGGCTGAATAAGAAAATACTTCCTGATAAATTAGAGATTCCATTTGACAAATGACAGATTGAAAAGTCACTTTGGATTTAAGTGTACATTTCCTTCCCTACCCTTCGTTTCCAGATGTCATTGTCTCTCAGGCTCCTCCAGGCGCAGCACGCAGCCATCCAAAAGTTCCCATTAGCATTAAGCACCGTCAGGCCCTGCTCAGTGGTTGGATTTCTCTTAATGAGCCAGCTCTGGGTCACAGGGAGTCATGACCCTGAGTGGTAATGATACCAGCAGCCTGTACCCACAGTGGTAGGATTTCTATTTGAGGACATTATTGGTGCAAAGTAGAAGGAAAAGTAAAATGTTTGTCTGTAAAATGGTGTCTTACACTAAGAACAACATTCTTACATACTTTATATCCATATGTGGTCATTTATTTGAAAAGTCACTACAGTCACTATTCTGCTATTCCATCCACCCTCCCCC